GCATCAAGAAGAGAACGTGGTATCACTCTGCCAAGTACTGCATCCATTTCCAAATATGTTGTCATTTAACCATTAGAATTATGTTACTAATAGTAAATAAGAACATCAAAACATACCCTTTGATTACTTATATAATTTATTGTAGGTAATCAACCAGCGTTCCTAGAAACTGGGTGTGTACATCTACTACATTGTTTTCCATAACAAACAAGAGTCAGCAGTCTAATTTATGGGTGAAGTACGCCTGAGTTTAGTTAGTGCAGAACCCACTTTTGTGGGAAAGGCTAAAACAGTTTTACCACAAAGTTGTCTTTAACAGTTTTACAGTAGTGTCATACTTAATTCTGAAAGTATTTACAACATAGGTGAAGAACAGTGACAGGGACACGAGAATTGACACGACACCCCGGTGAGTTAGCTAACAGTTGGTGAGTTAACAAAGACTGAAGCATGGAGAACAAAGCCGAATTCATTTAAGTTAGAAATAGACGTCCGGGAGACACTGACAGTGCCTTCTACCTGCTCAGTTGGGTCAGTGCTCATTCAATCGAGGTATCCGAGATGGACAAGTGAAACCCGGTCTCACTCGTCCTTTGTGTTGGAGATTAGCTGTGGGTTAGCTCCGGCTAATTTGCAGTTAGCTTCGGAGGAAACAGCGGTTCACTTTGTGCTTAACCGGATTTAGGTCCCTGGTACGTGGAAATAGTAAGAAGGCACAGCACTTTAAACTGAACTAGAGAATCAAAGACTCAACGGTTTGTAGCGATTAAAAAAAAGACAGAGTCAATAAATAAAGTAAATATTTCTTAGTTTCCGCTACTCCTGAGCTTCTAACTGCAGCTCGCCGGCCTCCACTCGCCGCCCACCGCAGCTACTGCCGAGTTGAGAGGCGCCAAACGTTTAGACCAATAACAGAGCCCGACACTAAGTCTAGCATGTGTCGCGAAACATGGTTGATCATGTCGTGTTGGAGATAACCAATAAAAATTAGAGCCGTGGTTTGGGGGGCCTAGCAAGAGGGACATGTGAACAATAGTGATGTTGCCTTTACGTGCTGCCAGAATTACTGGAAATGCGAATTTCCAAAACAAAAATTAACATGAATTGATTTTTGGCCCCTTTTAGCTGTTCAGTAGATTATACTTATACTACTATGTTGTTTGATGTAAAACTGGTGATGTGCATTACCTTTTCCCCTTTGTTCTGTAGAAAAAACTTTCAGCCTTTTCCGGCATAATCGTTATAGAACGTGAAGTGTGAGCGGATGTTGTATTATACCATCCTTATATATATATATATAACATGCTTTTGTATCGTTGAAATGTTACTTATTGTACCACCGAGGTACAATAAGTAACAGGCAGTACTATAGTACAATAAATACGAGGTAGTAGTACTACCTCGTGTTCAAGATGATTTCGAAACTTGATGGAGTCACTTATCTGACGTCAGAAACCCATATTTGCTATAATTTCGACTGTACATGAACACAGCGCGTGGATTCCCTAAGTTTAGATAAATGTATTTTAAATGTACCCAGGCTAGCAAACAAAAACAAATATTTGCTGATTCTGTGAAGAGAATAATTTTGGAAAATTATTAACTTCGATCGAGCTGCAATAACAAATCGAATAAATTTGCATTGTCATCTACCGGCATCTTGTGGTTTGTTTGTTGATTGCAAGCATCAAAAATACCTAGATTCTTGTTTCTCTATCATGGGCTACTGAAGAAAAATGACTAAAGATAGCTGGTGGATAAATAGTCATTTTTGTTTTATACCACTACCTGAACTTGAATTAAAACCAATGCTTAGATTTAAAAAAAAAATCCTGACTGTCTTAGTCGAGTTGCGAGGTGTGTACTATATTTTACAAATCGCATTTGGGCCTCTATTAAAACGCTATCATATGGTTGCCTATAAATTGTTAATTTGTATTGGTATTGGTATCCACATTATGTGTCCTATTTAATATATCTGCATTACTAAAACGTCACTTCAAATACAACTTAATATAGATAGAAGTTAGGATACAGGATGTGTTTGCCGATGCCTGTGTCCCTCCTAATTTTCCTGCTCCATTACTCTTTAACTGCAAATTGATTCTATTTATTTATTTATATAAATATAATGTTCACATTTCTCAATCTTAGAATGCCTAGTCAGTCGCCACACTTCCATTTTCTGCCTGTTTTGTCGTTATATTAACTAGCTGTAAGTAGTGTTTGACGTTTCCGCCGGATGAAACATTTAACCCTGATTAACTTCCAGGGTTAAAGTTTCAAGACGTTTTACTACAATCGAGCTACAGCCGCAGCACGGCTTTAATCCAAAATTTTAAAAAATAATTTATCATGAAAAACAAAATACTCATCGAAGACACCCCTATCGATTCTCTTTGCCTCTCTAAAACACGAATTTATCGCCGTTTAACTTTAAGTACGAATTACCCTAAGTATTTAATTGGTTAGACGAGGACTAAGGTAAGAAGAATGTTCCAGTAGTTTTTTATTTTTTCAATCAGTTCATATTTTGTTTTCAGGTTCCTTACACGCCCTTATTTTGAAAGGATGCTATGTGCGCTTCCTGTTTAATTTCCGATAGCTTGTCACTGGTGGCATCATTGGCTACAGAAGCTCAGACGCGACCCCCTGGAAGCAGAAGCAGGAGAACCTGTGCGTCTCGTCTTTGCGGCAACTTCTTCGCGTACCTGTGGGAATTCAGTGTTTTACATCGAGGGCTCTGCCGCGGAAGTGTCCGCTGCAGTGCAAAAAAAACCCGCCGGAGGATGAACCCGCCGTGCGCCCGCTGTGGAAAGATCGTCTACCCGACGGAGAAAGTCAGCTGCCTGGACAAGGTGCTCACTCTCCGTTTAAAAAATCTGCGCACAAGTAGTTTTAAGATGGAAAACGGAAACTACCGTATTTTCTACCAATTTTGCGCACACGTTTCGTAGGATAATATAAACAGTTATAGCTACTAACGTACAGTCGAGGACAAACCTAGTAAATTACAAAATGTTATACAAGTATTTTAAACATGTTATCTTTATTTAGGAAACTTGCACTAATTAGTATTACTCACAACAACAACAACAAAAAAGCTTAACAAAATGTTTCATGTTAACAGTAATTCTCCTGCCCTTTGGGAAAAACTCAACAAAATATGTTTTTATGTTTTAATGGGAAAACAAATTACATGCAAAAACAATCAAACATTTCCAAGTGCTAGGAACAGCACTGAGAAATTTTGGACATTTAAACACATTCACACAGCACATGAGAGAACATGCAGACAAACTTGAAGATTTTTATTTTTTTAAATTCCAGGGGGAAAACATGAGAGATTTCTCTGAAGGGCCTAGACCAGAAGTCCAGTCTGGAACAGAAAAATGAACAAAGTCACCGGGGTCTTGTACAGGAAGGGACTGTACAACAATAAAAACCAAACAACAGTTAGAAAACAGAACTGAAAATGTTTAGACAAGGAAGCGTTAAATCTAAAGATAGAAACAAAAACAAAAATGTAAAAACTCTACAATTTGCATAGTTAAATGTAGAGGGAAAAGAGAATGGAGCAGTGTTGAGTGTAAATGCTCTTCTGTCATCCTCCTATTGCCTAAAACTATCTGTAAAGGGAGAGGAGATGTTATATATTTTTATCTTATAAATGTTTAGACATAATTAACCTTAAATTTCTGACCAGCCACTTGGTTGTTTTGCCTGGCTGCTCCAGTGTTACATAACACCGATAAATGATTAAAACATTTTCAGCCGTCTAATGCGCTGGCTGTCTGTCCCGTGAGGCGTCGGATGACACACCAACAGCAGGGAGGCGCTGCAGTGTTTGGTGTGAAAGGCTCACAACAGCATTTATAAGTCACAAATTAAACACCGAAAAGTTTTCTTCTTCGTCTCTGGGATAAAAGCCTAAAGAAAAAGTGGTATTTCGTGTTATTTTGGGACAAATATAATTTAAAGACAAAGTCTTAATTCACTGATTACAAGTGAGTCGATGTTCCACTGCTGCCCGCAACATTACGATTATGTAATACATGATTTTTGGTTTTGATGAATTACATTCTCAGTTACACAGACTGACCAGGCGAGGCAGCAGTGCACCGACACCACCGGTGACTCTGACAGCTAAATCGCTAATTTTCTCTGTGCACTTGAACTTGGTTAACGCCAAGATCTGTTGAATTTAATTCTCATCCATGATTTTGTTTGTGTCTTTGTTTGTATGTATGTGCACATCAGAACTGGCACAAAGGATGTTTCCACTGTGAAGTCTGCAAGATGACGCTCAACATGAAGAACTATAAAGGCTATGAAAAGAAACCATACTGCAACGCGTGAGTTGACACCTGTTTGTCTTCTTGTTGTGTTTTGTTCTGTACCTTTTGGGCTATATTTTACTCAAAGTTGCTTTTGCTAATATTATCCTATTAGCTTAGATGTGGCAATTCATGGTTAAGCAAAATATATAGTTTTGAAGGAATGCTTAGAATTAGTACTATTGGTCCAGCAGAGGGCGTTGAAATGCCAAAGTCAGATCAAAAAATAAAAATAAAAACTCAGCAATGTAAACAACTAAATTTCTGTTTATGTTTGACATTTACCATGTTGCTAAAGAAAAACTGACCATTGACGTCACATCCCATACTGGATTCCATCCCATACAAATTATAACACAGTATAGAATTCAACAACACACTTATTGTCAGGCAACGCATTTACAACCATAATCTTCGAGAAAAATAAACAAAAATGTAAGAAAACACAATGAAAAACCTATCAAGAAGTTTGCCTTTCTGTTTGCTCCCTTCAGTGACTCATTTTCAGCGCTGACTCATGTTCAGTTTCAGCAATGAACTGATAGAAAACACTGTTGGCTGAATCATAAACCTCATCACCATGGAGACCAGTGACAACCTTACCCTGGCTCCACTTTTGATATGTTTCGTTCCAACCTCTTCTAGCTGTTATGCAGTTCAACAACAGGACAAACTAGTTAGGAAAAGTCTCACTGTTTCACACCACAATATAGAAAAAAAGTGCAAAATAAATCCTGATTTAAGCTCGATTTGAACAGCAGTAGCTCCAGTTTGTCTGTCAAATGTTACATGTATAGTTTCTCTCAGTATGTTGTGACATTGCACTAAAATATGAGCAGATATATTTTGATCTGGAGAACATGGTCCGATTTTGCTGCCTTTATCATTTTTTATTATTATTTGTATCTGCACTATATTATAATATGTTTAATTTTTGTTTTTATTTTTAAACTCAAAATGTATTGTGGTCAGTTGTACTTAACATTGATTCAAGGCATTGATGGAGGGAATATTTTGTAATTCTTTCTCTATAAATTTGTTAAAGAATAAATTAGTAGATTACAAACAAATTTGTGGGTCATTCAGGTCAGACCTGATGCTCAGCAGCTAGTGTTTGACCTCAGCTAGAAAAGTCACAGCAACGTGTTAAAAGCTGCACAGGTTTTTCCACTTGACACAGAAGCAAAAACTACCAAGGGTTTGAATCTTCATTTGACCCTAGGGTCAATGTCAGGTCTTCAATACTGATGACGATGATAATGAAAAAAATCAATAAAAAAAACTCAGTTGGACTGTAACTGCACAGAGATACTGAGGAGATTTGACAAAGGACAAATCAGTTTCCTTCAGTGAATTTCAGCTTTAGTTTTTAAGTCTCAGTGTTAAATGTAAGGCTCAGAAGATAAACCAGTCACACACACACACACACACACACACATTTGGATGGGTGTTATTTCCGCCCCGTCATTTTTCCAGATGCTGTAATGATCATCTGTTTAGCCTGTCTTCATCTCACAGCTGGACAGCCTTTCTGACAGAAAGCTAATGTTCCTAAACCACTGACTGTCCCACACCCAAGTCCAGGAAATGAGTGGCCGCTGCCTCTACTGTCGCAGTGACTGCATCATTGCCGGTCCATTACTAAGTGGACGTGTGTTGTCCTAATTTGTTTAGATTTGCCTCCATGACACAGAGTGACCACAGGAGGCAGCAGCAGCAGGCTCCGAGCTGAATATCAGTTCAGTTTGCTTTTTTTTTGTTTTTAAAGATTTGTGCAGCACAACCTGAAAATCCTAAACTGTTCGCTTAAGCCAATCACACAGACTCTGTGGCAGG